GTATTTTGTTCACTGATCAAGTTTTCTTGCATAAAATGGTGTCACGTTCAGGTAGCTGATGCATAAATTCAGCCGTGGGCTTTCGCACAGGCTCGCTATCTTCTTCAAAGGCGACTGGAGTGACTGAAATATTTTAGTCATATACATTTCATTTGCCATATTGAATCAATATCAGGATAATAGAAGGTTAGACCAGAGAAGGGTATCGTGTCTTTGCGTTGATTGTAAATGTTGCGTTGGGTTCTACATGTCCTCGCAAGACGTACAGAATCAGCCATATCAGTTAAGTACTCAATCATTTCTCGAACAGCTTCATTGGCTGAGTTAGGGACGCGACCATTCAAAGCAAAGTAAGATGTGGTGCATGCTCTTTAAGCAACGAGTGTAAAGCGGCGGGATCCGTAGTTGAGCTGAATGGAGCATCGTATTACCCAAAACGGCTAGTCTACCCCGGACTCGACTCTTCTCTGCTCTCGTCATCATCCAACAAGAATCCGCCTCAGCTCCAAGCTTCACGTTTCAAAGCAGCACATCATGGCTCCCATTCCCCTCAGCACGGTCGACAGTACGTATACCCTGTTTTCAATCCAACTAATACTAAAATCTGCCTCAGCCGACCTGAAAGACGTAATCCAACACCTGTTCGAAATCCAATCCGCCGTCCACGGCTACCTCGGTCCCGAAACCCAACAAGAGCTCGTTCGCAAAATGTACCCTCCTTCCTATCCCTACCATCTTCCTCACCTGATATTTATAACTCTACTAACGGATTACGTGTTACGTGTATAGAAAAAACCTCACTCTCGCGCTCTCCACACTCAGCACACACACCTCCGATAATCACCCCGACGCACAATCCCAATCACCCGGAAACAGCAACGACCCTCCCATCCACAGCATCCAACTTCCCCCAGAGATCATTGACTACGTAGATGCAGCAAGGAATCCAGATATCTACACGAGAGAATTCGTCGAGCTGATCCAGCGCGGGAATCAAGATCTGAAGGGGAAGAAGGAGGCGTTTGGGAGTTTTCGGGATGTGTTGGCGAGGGAGATGAGGGGAGCGATGCCGGAGGTTAGGGGGGAGGTGGATAGAGTGGTTGCTTCGTTTGGTGGTGATGGGAATAATAATGGGGAGAGCAGGGGGGTAATGGCTAGTTCATTATAATGATGGTGATGATGACGATGGAATAGAGGGATAGAATTATATTGGGATGGAGTTTGGGGGTGGAGTTATTTTTGCTTGCTTGCTTTATTTTTGGGGTTAATATTATTATTATGAGTGATTTGTGATGATGGATGATGGAAGGAATGTGATGATCGGAATCCAATGCCGACTAGACTGAAACTCAAGTCAGCAAGCAAGTAATGAGTTCAGCCTTGTGTGTGGCAGTGGCTGCTGTTGCTGCTGCTGCTGCTACTGCCCCCTGGAGTTATTATTATCTCTTCAGACAAGGAGCAGAGGGATAAAAATAACATGATGAATGATTAAAATAAAATAATGGGGGGATAATGCACGTGGGGATGCAAGGACTGTTTTTTTCTCCTTTATTCTTCTCCTATATGATTTCATATGGAAGGGGAGTATAGCATAGCAGGTATGCCAACATAACCCTATCTAGTATCCACCTCAGAACGGAGTATCTCAGAGTTTAACACAACATTAACCAAACTAACAGGTTAAATGCTCAGCTGAACAATAATAATGACAACAGAGAGGACAGACTCCCCGCCCAGTAAACCAGGCGAAGGGCAACTGCAAATAACAATGCACCGCGTCACGCCGGCCCCCGCCCGTCAGCCGGGCACTGACTGCCTTTCAATGTCCCCAGACGGCAAGGATCTGAGCCCGACGACCTGTCATGATTCTTGATTCATTACATGTCGGGTAATTGCCCGCCTGCCCCGGATCCTGCATCGGCCTCTGCTTCTGTCTGTCTGTCTCTGTCTGCCTCTTGCTCTTGTTAGTTGCTCTCTCGTCTAGCCTTACTCGCTTAGTCTCGCTTCCTCTCTCCTCTTCTTCCTCCTTCTCTACTTCTGCTTCTTCCTCTTCCTCTCTTCTCTACTTCCCTTTTCTTCCTTCCCATCGTATATCGTCTCTCTGCAATGGCATCATGATCACCGGCCCTACCGCCTCCCCCGGCAATGGCGTGGTTGGGCCCTACTCAGGCAACAGCCTGGCCCTGCGCATCGTCATCGCTACCATGGCCGCTCTATCCTGGTATAATGCCATCGAACTGGTCATTCTCGTCTTTGTGACCTTTTCCCAGTTTCGCGGTCCCTACTTCTGGTCTCTTCTGATCTCCGCTCTCGGTCTGATTCCCTACTCGGCCGGCTTTTTGCTCAAATACTTCGCTCTCACGTCCGCTACCGCCCTCTCCATCACCCTCATTACCATCGGCTGGTACGCCATGGTAACCGGCCAATCCGTGGTGCTCTACTCGCGCCTGCATCTCGTCCTTCCCAATCCGAAGGTCCTCCGCCGCGTCCTCACCATGATCATCGTGGACGCTTTCCTCCTACACATCCCCACCTCCGTGCTCACCTATGGCTCCAACCTCTCCTCCCACCCAGCCATCTTCATCTCCGGCTACAACATCATGGAAAAGATCCAAATGACCGGCTTCTGTCTGCAAGAATTCATCCTCTCCGTCCTCTACATCTGGGAAACCATCCGCATGCTCCGCCTCGATCCCGACCGCGGCAAACGCAAAATCATGTACCAGCTCGTCGCCATCAACCTGATCATCATCGCTCTGGATTTGGGACTTCTCGTCATCGAATACCGCGACCTCTACATCCTCGAAACCATGATCAAACCCGTCATCTACAGCGTCAAACTCAAGCTCGAATTCGCCGTCCTCGGTAAACTCGTCCTTCTTGTCCGCAGCACTCACAACCTCACCTGGAAGCCTGATTCGCCGCTGTATGCTGCCACCTCGCCTGTCACTATCCCGCCGCAGATCCCGTGCCGCAACGGTGACATCGTTAACGGTAATTTCAACAACAACAATGACTTGCCCGATTTCGTCGATGCCACGCGCGTCCCCTCAGATCTCAACCACGCCGCGGCCGGCGCCGCACCCCGTCGACGGCCCCCGCCCCGCATGGACTCGGAGGAACTCTCCATCGCTATGTTCGAGCACTCCGAGAGCGGTGGTGCGGGGACGGGCAATATCCTGAAAAGTGGGATTGGTCGAGACCGAAGTTTTGACCGAGATAATGGCCATAGTCTGGATCTTCCACCCACAGGACACTCGAACGGCTCGCAATCGTGGAGTGGGGAGACGCAGACGAATAACTCCGCCACGGAGCGGGAATTAAGTCCGTTGGACTTTACCAAGCCGTTTGGAAGGCAGGATAGTAGGAGTAGTTTCTAAGCTGCTGTGACGATGATGATATTGATGATGATTATGGTTTGATGAATTGATGATTGCTTTTTTGTACAGTACTGACAACCCTTCTGGCTACTAACATTGTGTGTGCAATAGTTAGTAGTTGTTGTGGTTTGGTTTGGTTGCCTTAGCGGAGATACCCGATACGATACCCACTTTTGATTATCTTTACTTTTTAATATTTGCCGTGGGTGGGAATCGATCCATGGGACGGCGTTTATCTTTCTTTTTCACATATTAAAATTGAGTATATACTATGTACCGAAATACATAAAATGGAATTAGTCAAATAACTGCTCAACTTCGGTAAAATAGCCCATAAAATGAGTTCTGTTGATTAGGGAAGGTAAAGCGATGACCGGCAACCGGCACGAAATCCCACAGTCGAAAGAAGTAAGTGAGTCATTTCTCCCCACCAATCAGAAAAATTATCATTTTGGTTGATAATCTCACTGGCCCAACACGGAGTAAAGTACTTAGCAGTGTAGTGGGTAAATGGTTAGGGTTAGTAATTACCCCTCATTTCTCCATGAATGATAATCATTGATTCAGAGAGAGGGAGAGAGTGTGTGTCCACTTGGTTCCCGTTCTTGTTTCTTGTGCTATGGTACACTTTACCTCTTTGGGATTGCGGGTTGAGTTGGTTTGGGTTGGGTTGGTTAGGTGTTCACCGACTTTTTTTGTGGGTGAGTAGGTTGGTAGTGTGGATGTGGAGGTGAGGTGAGGTGGATGGATGGTTGTTGGGAGTAAGTTCTTACGCCGATGGTTTTTGGGTTTAGGTTTGTATTTGGTTTAAGGTTTGGTTTCTTTGTTTGAGTGGGCTGGTGGGTGGGTTGTTGGTGCTTGGTTATTTTTACACAGGTAGTGGAGTGGTGGTTGTGGTAGGTGTGGTGGATTTGATAATGTGGATGTGGAAGTGGGCATTAGGGAGGGCTTGTAGAGATAATGGGGGTATGGTTGGGATGAGGTATCATTCAATCTCATACGTTAGAATTCATGATTGATAGTAGAGAGCAGAAGACGCCGTTTCGAATGGTCATTAGTATTCTATATGCACGCTATTGCGGTGTAGATATTGTCTATCTATGATAAGATTTGTGGAAGCGGGCTAGGTTTGAGGTGAATAGTAGTGGTATATTGTTGTGTATACATAATAGGTAGAAGTAGTTATACTCATTTTAGTCAAGTTTTGCAATGTAATCTGCTTTACCCGATGGCTAATACCTACATATGAGGTTATGACTATTGTGCATTCAAGATGCATGTGTGCTTGAAGAGTTGTGAAACGGTGAAATTGAGATATTCCCATTACGCATACATGCGTTTGAATTATCTTGTCTGTGTCTTTCTGATTGTTAAATGAAGACTGATTGTTCACTAAGCGCAGTATAACATGAATTGATGGGCTCATTTCCCGCTCGTTATGAGTCAGCTGTTGAAGTTATACAGAGAAGAGAAATGATTTTTCTTGTTTAGGCTTAGGTGGGATAATATAGGCTTGGATAGACACTTACTTAGGTGAGTACCTCCACGGTTATAGGACATCGTACCTTAGTAACGTCATGGGAATTGTAGGGAGGAAGGTAATAGATATCATCCTTGGTTGTCAATTCATCAACTGCCAAACTGCTCGCAAAGAAGATTGGCAATCAATGTGATCTATATAAAGCAGTAATTATTCCATTATATGGACTCAGACAGCACCTCAGTGCGTACTTATCTCCTGATGAAAATCTACCTCTCCAAACATTTCATACCAGTATGAAGTTCCGAAATTTAGGCGACGCAGAAATCCAGTCATGAAGCTCGACCCTTCCTATAGTCACTCGTCGACTGAGTCCATCTCGAGTTTCGACAATCAATACATCGACCAAAAATATGAGACCTTTGCCATCGAAAGAGCAGAGTACGCTTCCCTCCGGATCATACCATCGACCCTGTTTGTCTCGATTATCATATCCGCAATGGAAGTAGTACTGATGGCTCATTGAAAGAGCAAGCACATTCAATTTAGTATCATGATCCGTGCTGTAATCGTGGTCCAGAAATTGCCAATGGGCAGGGTGAGAGTGTATCCACAGGTCTACCCTGTCATCACGCATTCCGTGCAATATTACTTGTACAAACCGTCTTGCAAAAAAAAATTCGTTCTTGTTGTCTTCCCACTGGATCATTCGAGCTTCAAGGGACTGGGTATGCGCCAGCAATGCCCCCGGCTGATTTGCATGTTCCATGTAAGACGAGGAAAATATATTTTCGATATCCTCCTCCCCCTGCAAATATGCTAACCCAAGCGCCTCCTCGTTAAGCTTATCAAATGATGCCCATCCGGATTTGAGAAGGGCCCGATACTCTTGCCAGGTGGTGCTGACATTCAGAATTGGCGGTAATGGCCTTGGAAAGCAACCTTCCTTCCACGCCAATACGATACCAAGTTCTCGAACCCAGCCGTCCTCCTTGTCCCGCGACAGTTGTCGATTATGAGGCCAAATGATGTGCACCGTTTCGTTAGTCCTGGAAGATGGGGTACCCCACACACCTAGTAATGATGTATGGGTGCTTTCGATCATGTGCAAGTAAACGGGCCCCATTACAGAAGACCAAGACCAGGTCGGAAAAATATCCCCTGTTTCTGTACGCCTGGCCACAGGTGTTTCATGGGCTGACATTTTATAGAGATCCCAGAGCATACCCCTCACGAATTCACAGTACGGTAGGCCAAAGTAATGCTCCGTCCCATATTTCCAATGCATAATGCCAGAAAATGCCCTGAGGACATCAGAATTGATAGTAAAAGATCTAGATGAAAGTTCGTGCACAAGATTGTCGTATGTTGTGACCGGTGGGAACTGTAACTGCCTTGACGTCGACAGTGCAAATCTATCTTCCTGAGAAGCTTGGGAGCACTCGAAAAATACACCTGCATCTGTAAAGAACAACATCCTTGTAGATAGCATTGCCTCCTGAAATGTCCAGCCTCGGGATGCCCATTTCGATTTTTTGACAAGTGTAGGGAAACTATCTTCCATGGCTCTCATGCTCAGTCCGCATGCCTTATGAATGGTATGGCTTGCTCTTGCTTGCGAAACCCCGGGAAGACCATGATCCATAGTGACGCCTTCCAAATCCACTAAGGTGAGATAAGAATGGCTATATATGTCGCCCATGGCATTGATCTGTGAGGCTTTCACGGTGGTAGTTTCGTCTTGCACAATGCACAGTCTATCGATCCAGAGGTACCGTATCTTCAACTCGATGCATGCACGGATACTATCCTTAATGGTCGCCGGTATAGGGGTTTTGAACAGGTAACCCTCTTCCTCCAGTATTTTGATGGTACTTTTTGTTGCCAATGCGTTTTCATCAGCTGTGCTACCCCACACGTAGCTCAGAGTAGCATATCTGCAGGAAGGAGGAGCCATTACTACGCATCCTCGTTCCGTGTCAATAAGTCGAAATTCGTGTGGCGGTGAGTTTAGGAGCCCATTGTCGCATGAGCCCCCATGCTCTCTGTGGCAATTTTCTAGCCAGATGCGGACTGTGCTCCAGTCTACCATCGGCTGCTGCCATACTGTCCGTTTGGTGATGTCAAAAATCCCACCAATGCATTTAGCTTCAAAGCCTAAAGTATGTTAAAATCATAATTAGCTTACGCTTGAACCAATGACTGAGTATGATACAAACCTGCCTTGTAGAAGCTGAACTCCAAGTGTATATCCTTGTATTCAGGCCTAAAAGAAATGCTCATAATCCAATTTGAAATCGCGTTGCAACCTTTCAAGTACCCTTCTTGGACAACAATGCTGCAAAGTACACAATTTCCAGACCGCTGCCGTATTTCTTGAAAGGTCCCAAAGCTTAGCACAAGAACTTGTATGCCTTGAGTCATGTAATGATACAGGTGCCGCGGTCTAAGATGGTTGCAAAACCTGCAGAGCAAATCTTTGGGGACATCGTCGCAACTTGGGCATTGCTCATGGAAAAGAGAATGTCGAGCCTTTAGCATAGCATTAAATTCCCTTGGATTGTAATTATACCTTGTAATACTGAAATACCGATTGGACTCACGATAATCAAAACGTCGAAGACACGAACACAAGGAACACGTCCCAGTCTTTTCATTCACAACAGGCTGGCTCGTGGTTTTATCTTTGTCCGTGGTGTTCTTTCGACAGCATAGCGCACGCAGAAAAGCAGCCATGTTATGAAGGAAGAACCCTTCCAAGAGTGAAGATGCAACAAGTTGAGGCAGACAGACAAGCCTGTAGTCTGTTGCGAGGAGGCTGGGGTGGAGTTTATCTCCATTTCAATAAGAGATCTCTCTGCTGAGTTGGCAGAGCTGAAAGACAGGGATCAGCCTCAATGCATGAACCCCCACCTTTTAGGCGCCTGGGTGGTTGATCGAACTAATCATATCGCATGATGTGGCACTCGCGTGCTTAGTGCTGAATGGATCATCGACTCAAACGTAAGCATCGTGGATGAGCTGAAAGATCTCTGAAGGTGCTTGATTCTATTTTGATGACTTTCTGGTCATCGTAAGTGGCAGATATTGAAGAAGGTGAAGATGTGCAAGTCTCCGAGATTTATGGAGGAGACGAGAGGAAGAATAGAGGAAGGTGTAATCCACTGTATCACCTGATCCAACTGTCAGATAGGCTGCTTCTAGCATAGTATCCCCACCTCAATAGACATGGAACGTGTCAGTATCAGCGGTGCCTTGCACTGGTACAGCCTCAGCCTGTATCTTATGCGTTGCTTCGAAGTACCTCATATGCATGTAGTGTTATCACAACCTTCCTTTTGAATAACAATCCATGACCTAAGGCTAAAAAAAGCTGCTGAACTACTGATACCATCTACTTCATCCGTGTAGTTGAGAGATAACTCATTAACAAGTAATATGATACAGTCTCAATCTCTGTATTCACCAATCAATCAAATCATGAACGCCTTGCATACCGGATGCATCCCAGCGCCTACAATTTCACTAGAATCAAAGTCCCGGAGACACCAAGCCAGACCACTAAATACACGGCAGCCGCCAAAGAAAAGAAGCATCACAAGAAATGTCGCAGTAAGTACCATGCGTCCAACGCTCAGAAATGCAATCAATGTTAGTCTCATTCGATTTAGCCACGGTTCTTCGGCTGCGCCAGCATGTTCAAGCGGCTGACGCTCAACACGCCCCGGTTGCGTGCGCGCACACTGGCCGGGGTGCTGATGCGTGGAGTGCTCATGCGGCTGGTCGTCACCGACCGGAGGGGAGTGTGCGAGCGAGGCTTGGTGGGGCTGGGAGTCGCGGCTTTGGTTGGGCTAGGGGCCGCAGCCTTGCGGGCACTCAAAATGGGCGCCTTGATCGGAGAGGGCGAGGTCATTTTCATTCGTTTAGCACTGCGCGCGTCCGCGGTTGTGTCGACAGGCGGCACATTCTCAGTGTCGGTCTCATCCTCGAGGGCAGCGCGGTTTCTCTTCTTCTGGCCGATGCCATGAGGGACACCTGCGACCTCAGGGAGATCATTAGTCTTGGTGTCTTCACCACTCTCACGGGTCCTCTTCTTGTGGCCGATTCCGTGCGGCACGCCTGCAACCTCAGGCAGAGGGTTGGCATGGACATCTGACGGGCGGACATGGCGGATGGTAGGGGTTGTCGCTTGGGCGGGAGACTTGGCGTTGACCCTGTTCTGCTCCGGAGTCAACACCGGCAGTGTGGGATAGACAACATCGGAAATGGTCCGCGAGGGACTGGCAACCGGAACTTTCGATGGAGATGGCGAGAACATAACCTCCTCGTGGCGGGCCTTCACACTAGGAGTGAACTCCACGCGCTTCTTGGGCGACGGCGTCTGCGCAGGCTCCTCCGTGGTGCCTCGCGATCCGAACAGCAGGTTCGAGGTAAAGTCTGGAGCAGCCACGTGGGTGCCCGCGGCAATCTTAGCAGGATCCTTAGAGAACAAAGGCTGGTGGCGGCGGAGGATCGACTTCAGGTTACCCAAAGTGGGCAAGTTGCTCTTCAGCCGAGGGTTGAACTCTGTCTGAGGCGTGCGCGGCACATCGGCCGGCTTCGCAGCTGGAGACCGGACGAGCGACGGGATCATCGAGGTGCGGGGCGGCTTTGCGGTGACGGACGAAGCACGCGCCGCAGAGGACCGCGTCGGGGTCATCAACGAGCTGCGCACTGTAGATCTGGGCCGGGGTTGCACAGGCTTGGGAGGGCTGGCTGCAGCGGGACGACGCGTCGATGCATCATCGGCCTTGTCGTGCTTGACGCGTTTGTTGCTAGCAGGGGCAGCAAGGGCAGGTGATGGACGTGCAATCTTGGATGGTGATGGCGAGTTGCGGTCCGAATCGTCCAAACGCGCCTTGGAGTTGGTTCTCTTGAGTGACTTGACCACTGGCTGGAAGCGTCCCGGGGTGGCACGGAAAGCCGACGCGTGACCAGCAATGGAGTCCATCTTCTTGAATTCGGCCATGTGCACATCGCTGAAGCGGCTGGCCTTGCCCTTGGGCTGCACGATCTTCCGGTCCGCTGCCTCGGCGCGGTTCTGGTCGGGTTCCAGGGTCATCTGGGCTTTAATCTTAGCAGCATCCTCGCGCACGGTCTCCATGAGCTTCTTCGCCTCGTCACTGAGCTGCGAGTCGCAGGAAAACTTGAACTCGAACGCGGGTGTGCCGTAGTAAGGAGCGGGTGAGGCCTTGGCTTTGGTAGGGGTGTTGTCGGCGAGGGTGTCCTTGATCACCTTGCCTTCGGCATCCTTCTTGATGGGCTTGAAGCCCAGGATCAGACCGGAGTCTGCCTGTTTGGTGGTGCTCTGGCGGACCTTGCTGGGGTGCATTTCTTGGTGGGACGGACGCACGAGGGTGCTGGAGGGAGTTCTGGTGGGTGTGCTTTTGTGGACGGGCGTGCTTCTGTGGACGGGTGTGTTCTTCTGGACTGGCGTATTTCTGTTGACAGGCGTGCCCTTGAGAGTGGGGATAGATTTTTTAGGAGTCGATAGCTTCAAAGCAGGTTCAGGTATAGCCTTGGTAATAGGTCTCTTTTCAGTCTCAGCAGCAGCGGGCTCAGCCATAACCTTGGGAGTAGGCTCCTTTTCAGTCTCAGCAACAACTGGTTCAGTCGCATCCGTCTTGGACTGAGACTCAGCGATCGCCGGAGTCACCTCAGCAACAGGCTCTTTAACTTCAACCTTGGACTTTCTCTTAGACGCGGTCTCAGTCTTGGTCCTCTTCCGCGACCGCTGCACGGGGGCATCCTTAGCAGCATCAGCTGGCTCCTCGTGCTCCACGACGGGAGGCAATCTTTCCGGCTGTTTGCCGAGACGAGCCATGGTTGTGTCGATTTCGGACGTGTTCTCGGAGTTGTTGTGATTGTTCGTGTCGCAGGGGGCGTTGTTGTTAGTGACGACGGGGTCGGCAGGGGCCTCAGGCTCCTTAAGGTCGAGTCAGTGAATGTCATGCAAGGGCGCGAGCAGCCCATCGGAATGGAGGCTGAGTGGGATGGGTGGTGTGCTCACCTCGGTGGCCTGGCGGCTGCGCAGGCGGGCGGACCGTCGAACCGCCATGGTGGTGGTCAATGTGTATCGGGTGACGTTGGAATTGGGTATCGAGATGTCGAAGAATTGGATTGTGTGGGGGGATGGATCATTGATTAAATGAATGCAGGGCGAAGGCGAGATTCAAGAATAAACAAACACCCGCAGGCGGTGAGCTGACGTCAGGGCTTAGCTAAGCGTGTTGTGTTGTGCATGAGCTAGTTATCACATCAACTATATCGTCCATCATCATTAATTTGAAACACTATCTACTTTTACTCCTTACAGTCCATTCTACCATTACTTACAGTCTACTCTACAGCCCAAATGGATACGTCTCCTCCGTACCCATCGCCGTCCGCGGCTGCACCCTTTCCAACGGCTTAACCGCCTCGGTACTATCGAACCAGACATACGCATCGAACTGGTTCTGCAGATCAGCCTGCGAGTAATGCGACATGCGCTCAGTATCAGGCCGATAAATGACGCCAATGAATCTCTCCAACCGCTGATCCTCCGCAGCCATGAGGCTCCTCAACTCCGGACTCATTCTCGTCGGCCTCAAATCCAACAAGAAGCTCTCAATGCCCGTCTGATGCGCCAACCACTCCCAACTATCCGGTCTCGACGGCTTGACCTTCATAATCTCCATATCTTCATCCCACTCATGCGCAGCCGCCACAGTCCCGGTATGTGTCCCACAGCCGATCAGCGCAACCTTATCCCGACCGAACTGCTCGCGACATAGTTGCCCGATATTCACCTCATTGCGCCGACTGCCCATGCTCGTGTATCGCGCATCCCCACAATGCGAATTATGCGCCCACACCACTGCCTTACTGCCTGGGGGCTTGTGACGAAGGATGCGCCGTAGCGTATCCACCATGTGCGTATCTCGCAGCGTCCATGACGACGCAGAGCTATAATACATAGCCTTGTAGTATCTCTCTGCGTCACGCACTAAATACGCGTTCTGCTGACTACTATGCGACTCTTCGCCATTATGCGGATCTTCTTCCGCATACTGCAGTCGTTTTCGCAGCAGGTCGCGCAGCATGTCCACGACTCCCTTTTCGCAGTCCGCCAAGCCGCGCAACGCCGCGAGTCCGTATGCCGTCGGATCATCCACCCACGGCTGCAAACAGCCATAGCGACGACGCGCCAGTTTTCCTGCCTCTGGGTCCAGGCGGTCGAGGTAATCTACGACGGCGCGGATGGATGCCCCCATGCTGTACAGATCGAGGCCGTAGAATCCAGCCTTCTGGTGATCAGGTAGATTGGCGTTGTGGTCGCGCATCCACTCGACTAGGTCTTGCATTTCGCGATTGCGCCACATCCAAGTTGGGAATCGCTGAAAGGGTTCGTCCTTGTCATTTGTGAGGTGGGCTTGGGGGCCGGGGCGTTGGCGCACATAGCGGTCGATGGCTTCAGCGTCAGGCCAGTCGGCTTCGACGGCGACGGTTGTGAAGCCATGGTGCTCGATTAGACGCTTTGTGATCTCGGCGCGGGCGGCGTAGAACTCGGAGGTGCCGTGGCTGCCGTCGCCGAGGAGGACGACGCGGTAGTTGGCGAAGCTGTCGAAGTGGGAGGCGAAGTTGGGGTCGTGGATGGGGGGGAGGGGACGGGCGGCGGTGGCGAGGAGGTTTTGAAGGGACATATTCTTCTTTCTTTTGGAAAGGAATTTGAACATAGATTATACCAGTACGGTATGTATGATACTGTGGTTAGTCCATGATGGTTGTAGTTGATGAGTACCGGGATGTACGAGACTGCAGTATAATAGATGTGGTTAGGGTTAGATGAGATCACCTCCCGCTCATGATGACTTCACTGCATAGACATCAAACGTACAATAACTGAGCTCTTCTGCCGAACAAATCAATTCATTTCATGCTAGTTTCAGTAAGAACTCCAACTCTGATTTGACCCTAACAGCTCCTAGCAGTCTCCCCGTTTCCATACCACTATACCTCCATACATTTGTCCCTATCTACATAAACACCCACACCTATACTATACCACCCTCACC